CGGCTCACCGCAACCTCCGCCTCCCGGGTTCAGGCAATTCTCCTGCCTCAGCCTCCTGAGTAGCTGGGATTACAGGCACGCATCACCATGCCCAGCTAAGTTTTTGTAGTTTTAGTAGAGACGGGGTTTCACCGTGTTTACCAGGATGGTCTCGATCTCTTGACCTCGTGATCCACCCGCCTCGGCCTCCCAAAGTGCTGGGATTACAGGCTTGAGCCACCGCGCCCGGCCCGCTCAAGAGTTTAATTGCCTGGGGACGGCGGCAGCAGTGGCGTCATCATCTCTTATTAAACTGTTGGAGAAATATTCCGTCCAGTCCATGTGTTTTCAACTAAATGGCGCTGCTTACGCAGTCGGTGGTATCACAGAAGTAGCCGTAAACCTTGGTTATCTTTAAACACCTTGTTATCTCAGATTTTAAAGTGCATAATTTTGTTGAAAGATGGTGCCTCTACAGAAGTTTGTTTGCAAATCGTAACGTGTAGGTTCGTCCTTTATCTCTTTCTAATGAAGGTGCACGATGGGCTTTACTTTTTGGGGCTGAATTTTGTATAAACTCAGTTGAGGTGGCGTGTCCGTTTCCCTTCTAACAGTCAGATGCTTGGTTAATGTGAGAGAAAAAAATTAACGATCATTTTCAGTTACAATATCAAAATTTTTTCTGCATACTTTACTCTGAGTTTCTTTTATATTTAATTTGAAAGGCCATTGTGGGCCGGGCGCGGTGGCTCAAGCCTGTACTTTGGGAGGCCGAGGCGGGTGGATCACGAGGTCAAGATATCGAGACCATCCTGGTCAACATGGTGAAACCCCGTCTCTACTAAAAATACAAAAAAAAAATCAGCTGGGCATGGTGGCGCGTGCCTGTAATCCCAGTTACTCAGGAGGCTGAGGCAGGAGAATTGCCTGAACCCAGGAGGCGGAGGTTGCGGTGAGCCGAGATCGCGCCATTGCACTCCAGCCTGGGTAACAAGAGCGAAACTCCGTCTCAAAAAAAAAAAAAAAAAAAAAAAAAAAAAGAAAGGCCATTGTGGGAGACAAATTATCAGCTTTTAAGTTATTGTAAATTAATACCTTAGGTAGAAATTCATTTAGTCAGATCCTTAAGATATTCCAGGAATTGCCCCTTTTCACCTGCACGTCATTTCTGTGAAAAATAAACCGTTTATCCTAAGTCCTCATGTACTTTTATTAAAAGTTCATTTCCTATTCTTTTAGAAAATAGACCGCAAAACTGAAGATTTTCTATGAACCTGTGATTTGTTAAAATGTCTCATTTATTCAGAGTACCGTGGGGAAAACCAACTCAATTTGCCAAATCTGCATACATATGCTGAACCTTTCTTACACTAATGGCAAACTCATATCTCCTTCCCAATATTTGCAGAGCCAATATAATTACACATCAGCTCTTCATAGCCTTTATATAGTAAGAAATCTTTGATGATTTGAGCAAGGATTTTCCAGAAAGTTCTGTCACTGAGAGACGTATCATAGTCGCAGATATGGAAGACCATTCCATTTGGTATCATAAATGACAAAATATAACTTGTTGCTCTTTACCAGATTGAATACTGTCTAAATTTAAGGAATATTTAATATTTAACATTGAAGTTGTATGTGATCATAAGACTTTTGCATTTAGTTTTTTTTTTTTTTTCTTTTTTGAGACAAAGTCTCACTCCTTCACCCAGGCTGGAGTGCACGGGGACGATCTCGGCTCACTGCAACCTCCACCTCCCAGGTTCAAGTGATTCTCCTGCCTCAGCCTCCCAGGCAGCTGGGACTATAGGCATGTGCCACCACTCTTAGCTAATTCTTGTAATTTTAGTAGAGATGGGGTTTCACCATATTGAGCTGGTGAAACATTGGTCAGGCTGGCCTCCAACTCCTGACCTCAAGTGATCCGCCCACCTCGGCCTCCCTAAGTGCTAGGATTACAGGTGTGAGCCACTGTGCCCAGCCCTTTTTCTTTTTAAATTATATAAGTCAGGATAGTCATTCAGGTACTGGCTGAGATAGTTTACTAGCCATTAAGGAGATGTACTGTAAAAACAACCTGTACTTGCTTGTAGTGTTTCTACTTGAGGGGTTTACTTTTCAGTAAGTGTAATAGAAAATCCCTCCCCTCGTGAAGTTATATTCTGATGGGAAACACAGACAGACAAATGAGCAAAATACATGTTGGATAGTAGTAAATGCTAGGAGAAAAATGAACTCAGAAGGGAAAATGGTAAAACAATGAGTGCACCAGTGCGATAACACTAAGGAATATGAAAACTGGCCGATATTGGCTTCTGTTAACTGGTAAATTTAACTGAAAATAAACACATTACTGAAAAATTAAGTGTCTAGTGACACTGGCCTTTTTTACCCATTTTAATAGGGTTATTTTGTTGTGATTTTTTTTTTAAGGAGGAAAATTACATTTTGCTGTTATAAATTCAGATAAGTTTGGGCCAGGCATGGTGGCCCACACCTGTAACCCCAGCACTTTGGGAAGCTGAGGTGGATGGATCACAGGGTCAGGAGTTCAAGACCATCCTGGCTAACATGGAGAAACCCTGTCTCTATTAAAAATACAAAAAATTAGCCAGGTGTGGTGGCATGTGCTTGTAGTCATAGCTACTTGGGAAGCTGAGACAGAAGAATCGCTTGAACCCAGGAGGCAGAGGTTGCAGTGAGCCGAGATCGAGCCACTGCACTCCAGCCTGGGTGACAGAGTGTCTCTGTCTCAATCAATTGATCAATCGATCAACAATAGAGGTTTTCTTTCCTCTCCTGTTACCTTGGTCCTAATATTGAATTCTGAACCCAGGATCTGAGCCTTTCTCACCGTCTTCACTTCACTGCTGTTACCCCAGTTCAAACTGTTCTTTCATCTCCGTTTTTACCCTTGCCCCTACTCCCAACAGTATTCTCTACCCAGTTGCCACAGTTAGATCAGGTCGCTTGTTTGACTAAAACTCCCCAGACAGCTTCCTGTCTTGTGCAGGGAAAAAGCCAAAATCCTTTCCTTGGCCTTCAGAATTGTACGCATTCTGTCCCTCATCCCGTCTGAACTCTGGAACCTCATTTCCTGCTACTCTCCCTCACTCACACCAGCCTCCTCCTCACTGTTCTTGAACATGTCCCACATCCCACCTCAGGCCTCTGCATTTGCCATTTCCTCTGCTTGGATGACTCTTACACTAGATATCTACATGGCTCACTCTCTCATATTCTGTAGGTCTTGACTCAAAGGTCACCTTCTTGCTGAGGCTCTCCCCCGGCACACGAATGAGATTGCAGACCATCCCCAAACCCTAGATACAAGCACGAAGGCATGCACGATTCCTACTCCTCTTCCCTAGTTTATTTTTCTCCTGGCACTTATAGCACTATTTTTTTCTTTCTGTTTTTGAGACAGGATCTGGCTCTGTCACCCAGGCTGGAGTGCAGTGGCTCGATCTCGGCTCAGTGCAACCTCCACCATCTGGGCTCAAGCGATCCTCCCACTTCAGCCTCCTGAGTAGCTGGTACCACAGGCGTGCACCACCACGCCTAGTTATTTTTTTTAATTTTTAAGTAGAGATGGGGTTTCACCATGTTGGCCAAGTTGGTCTTGAATTCCTGGGCTCAAGTGATCTGCATGTCTCCCAAAGTGCTGAGATGACACGTATGAACCATCACACCCTGCCCATTTATCACTATTTAACATACCACATGTTATTACTCATTTGTTTCTCATCTAGACTGTAACTTCATGAAGGGAGGAAATTGTGTGTTTTATTCACTTCCATATCCCTAGTACCTAAGAGAGTATCTGGCACATAGCGGGCACTTTAACAGTATTTGTTGACTGAATAGGGAGTTTTCAAAGCAGAGTAGGTTGAGTAACAGGAATGCAGCTTCCATTGCATCTTGCAAGGCCCCCTTGCCTTTCCACCACCACCACCACCAAGACTGCGACAAAAACAATTATGGACGCCCATAAACAGTCTGTTTTATTTAAAATACTGATTGCCTCCTATGTTTCAGAAATTCACCTGTCTCCTTCAGCACCCGGTATGGGCCCTTGCAGATGATACTCCAATATATGTTGATTAATTTTGATTTAAAAAAATATAGGCCAGATGCAGTGGCTTACACCTGTAATCCCAGCACTTTGGGAGGCCGAGGCAGACCGATCACTTACTTAAGCCTAGAAGTTTGAGACCAGCCTGGGCAACATGGTGAAACCCTGTCTCTACAAAAAATACTAAAATTAGCCAAGCATGGCGGCATGCACATGTAGTCCCAGCTACTCAGGAGGCTGCGGTGGGAGGACTGGCTGAGCCTGG